CCAGGTTACCTTTCGGTTATATACTTACGTAAACCCATGTGGTATCTCGTGCATTAAAGTCACCTACTCTAATGCGATGTGTGCACCGCGTTTGAGCAAGAATTTCTGGTATGCGGTGCTCTTATCTTTAGGATTCCTGTATATGTTGATTACCAAGAATCCTGTACCTTATGTGTGATTCGACGGGATTACTTGAAGAGCAGTGTACTCAGTTCGTTTCTCTGAAGAGCTTCTCGTTGGGGTCCAATCTATGAATGGAAGCGTTTTATAAATAAGAATAGCTGTGCGCGATGTTACCGATGCCACCTGATATCCTTGCAGAGAGAAAGCCACAGAGCCCGTCTCCTGCAGAGCCACTATATGAGGCTGTTCAGTGGAGTGTTGAATGTAGGCGGCCAATTGAGAGTGTTTCTTTCTGATGCTTCTACAATTCCAATGCCATATGTTCATATCAGATGGGTTTTGATTTCCGGGTGGAGAAGGCAAACCTGCTCTTGCAGTATTTTGTCGATTACTAGAATTCGCCACGTTGGGTCGTTGTGGGAGTGTAAACTCCCGATTATGCGCTATTCGTCTGCTGCGTGTGCTGAGAGGAAGCGACGGCCGATTTGTGTTGTTTATGATTACGGGTTGGTGATGCTTGAGCTTCCATATTGTACAGGTGATTAATTGCAGTCTCAAACTTTTCCATGCGGTGACTCAACGTGGTCTTCTTTCTCTGGAGAGCCTCTTTTTGTTCGTTATTCATTTGTGTTTTAACAGCCTCGAGGCTTTCACTTACAAATTTTAGAACTAGTTGTATGAGGCCTTGAGTGAATTCTGGGGTTTGGAAATTCTAGGCACATGTCTGTTGAACGAGGGCTGGTGAGTGAGGTGGTGTTGATTTTGAAGCATTTTGGGAAGCTTGCTCAACGGGTGACTCACCAGGGTCGGCCAGGGGGTCCAGCCGTCGCTGTAGCTGTGACTGTGGGGTTTGATCTAGGCGACCTCCTGCAGCCAAGCCAGATGAACTCGAGGCCGCTGCCTTGGCCTCCAAGCCAGGTGCATGGGTGGGCTCTCGTTGCGGGAGTGCTGGCCATGTATTGTGGCTTTTCGCACTGCGCTGCGAAGAAGTCGGTTGGTAGTTCTTAAATGAATGCACAGATGTCTGAATGGGCGGAGCTGCTTGGGGTTGAATAGGTTGCGAGGTCTCGTTTCCATGCTTTGGGGTTTTCGAGCGTTCGGAACGAGCACTCTTACCATGGCCTTCGCTGCTGGCGTGCTGAGGACTGCTGCGAGGTTGGTTGTTCGGTGGCAACTGTTCCGAAAGTTGTCTCAGTGGAGGGTCATTGGTCTTTTCTAGGAGCTGACGTTCACCTCTCTGAACACAGGGCCCAGATCTCCTTTGTCGGGCTGGGCAACCCAGGTAGATGGCAGGGTGTTAGTCGGAGCCACAGGTTAGACAGCGCGGGACGCAACCATCATGATATTTGCTTGGGTTGAGAATGCCGCAATTTCCACACTGGTGTTCTTGCGGATATGGGCAGATGTCGTGTTGGTGGCCAGTTCTGAGGCAGCAGTGGCACACTTGGGTGAGTAATCGGAAAAGTCTGCATCAAAATTCCAAGCCTTGGAAGTAAACGTATCGGGGAGCACGCTTTCCATCGAAGGTGTAGAGGCATGCTCCATTCGTCCCGAATGATCGCGCTTGGATAACATTATTACTTTGGGGATAAGTGATAGTGTTGTTCATGAGGGCGTCCTCTGTGGGTATGCGGAGGGCTCCTGTGATTACTCTCTTGCAAGAATTAGCTGTTGAAGCCACAAAAGTGGAGACTTCATACGATCTGCTGCTGAGCTTGAGCGTCTGCACATGGCACAGCTCTACCGCGAGGTCTGGGTCTGAGGTGCTGATTAGGTCGAGGTTCTGCTCCTTGCATACTCGTATCCGCGCACTCATGGACAAAGAGGCTCGAAGCGCGGTTTATATAGCAGCGTACAAGGGTAAGACCGCTTCTTGTTGCAGAGATATGCCTCCTCTTATACGAAAGGTCACCGTGTGGTTCTCCACGGGAAGGCGTGGCAAGTGGGGCCGGCCGGTTCAATGTCTGTGCTCGCGTTGGTGGAATGTGGCTGGTGGCGACGTGGAGGCCTCCTTGGCAGCAACCTTCTTTTGGCGAGTATCGATCACCCGAAAGCATAGATTGTGAGATAGGGATGGCTGCAGGTATGTATTGTTGGACGCTTCGGCAACACCTCTCGGACCGGGGGTGGAGTCACTGGGCCCACAATTGTCCATGGGTTCGAACTCGTCAGCATCTAATAATTGCTGTCTAGACCTGGTGAGTCAGAATCGATGATGGTCGTCTCCGCGAACCAGGCCCCTGCCCAGTTCGCTACGTTGCGAGGCCCGTTGCAGGCTGTGTCGCAGAGCGTGCCGGGAACCAACGCGGTTGGCGCGTCCGCCGAGCCGCTGCAGCGGGGGCGCATCTAGGCTTAATGTTGTGACCACCGCTTACGGTTTTCAAACGTTCGTTTCTCGTTAAAAAGAGTGCAGCTCAAAATAATTGGTGCCAGATGACAGATGGTGATGTGCCTGTTGCGATTCTTGTTCGATTTTGTGCCGATGGCCATAATATCCTGGCTCTTGAGGACGGAAAAAATACAGCCAGTTGTGACCCGTACTGCTTGCGTTGGCACCCCCTCGGAGCCAACTTGGCCAGCATAAGCTGCAGCTGCAAATCTTGACATTCATGTTCTCCCTGCGTTTTCTTCTCGCGACTTTCAAGTTCAAGCTGTACTTTCTTTCCACTTGTCTACTGTTCAATCAACTGCTGTCTAGATTTTTCAGTACTGGTAGTATCAAGTAACTGTAGTCGCTCCTCTATCATCTCCTTTTCCCTGATCAAGTGCATATATGTGTGTTCATCCGCTGCTTAGAACTTCTCCACCTGCTCTTTTGCAGTCTCCCATGCATTAGCGCCTTATTCTCCTAATCGCTTTTTCTCCTGCCGATAAGGGTCAATAATGCCTGCCGGAAATATGCCCGTGGTATATCCAGATGATAGTAATCATTCAAGTCTGTTCCGCCTCTCAAGACGAATTTGAACGAATCCTTGCAGGCTCATTAAAATGTCACGTTATGATATCGCGCGGCTCAGTTTGTTTGAGTCAAGTGGGATAAACGCATGGAGAGGACATGGGTTGTGGCACAAAAACACCCTTCAATATACACTCACACACATGGAGTACAGACAGAAGACTAACAATCTATAGAACCAATTCAGTACCCGAAAGTCCCACCGCAGCAAGTCCTACTCATCAACAAATTCCACCACAGCCACGTTCTATGCGCGTCCCTATATACACATTCAGCGGTCAATGTCTCTCGCACGGAGCAGGCGTAAGGTGTCGGCCGCCTACGACGAATATCATTCGCACCGACACCCGAGCGTATCTCGCCGCGTGCGTCCATGCTTGTTGTTGCTGATCTGGAAATGATGTTGTTGCTGATCTGTTGTTGCTGATCTGGAAAGGTCTGCTGCAAATGCTTTGAAGTGTGAGGCAGTCGTTTTCATGCGGTGGTAGAACGAGTGCCGGCAGGTACGACAGGCACTTCTCAGGCCGCTCTGGCCCGTGTGCCATAGACGCAGCAGATGGTTGTCAACAAGCCCAGGTTCGTTCGAGGCCGGCGGCGTGACGCTGATTTGTCCCAGCCTCTCACTGCACCATCCACCAGCTGCACAACCGGAGCAAAAAGATTGTAGCTCGCCGAGGTGACAACTTAGACGGCTCTCGACGCGTTGAAGTACTGGGGCAGGGTCAAAGCCACCTCGATCATCCACCATCTTTTTTTTTTCTTGTGCGCGCCCTAATCCCATTTGGCGTCCCCACGCTCCCTTCTTACTTTTCTTTTTTTATCTGAGTTTTTCTCTTTTGGCCTCTCACCCATTTGTCCTATTGTCTTTACCTTGTCTTACTCTTTTTTTCCACTTCACTTGTCGTTCCTGACACCACCCAACTCTCTCGATTGCGAGCCAAACACACTTTGCCAATTGGATCCCGCTTCTTGTCTCGTTGCGTTGAGCCTACTGTGTTCTAAAATCTGTCAGGCCTTCGTTCCACCACGAAGTCAGTCGGCGTATTTAGGAACCTCAAAAATAACGCAAAAAACCTAACACCGAGGTAGCACTTCTGGTACTCCACCGGGGCAACTGTCACTCGTCACCACGTGGTTGCCTTCCGCTCTTCAAGTTAAAAGGTTGTCGTCTGCGTGTTCAGATGCGCGTTCACCACGCTCTGATTGTTGCGACTGCCAAACACTCGAATATAAACATGTTTTTTGTGAGGCAAGCTTGAATTTACAAAACTCAACCGCACAAAATCCTTAGCAACTGTAGGAAATGCAGAAAGCGCTTTCCGTGGTCAAGATGAGATACTTTAGGGCTCTTACTGTGCTTTCTTAGTAAAACAGAAGGCTCGCAGAATCAATATAATGTGCGCGTTAACCAACAGGTAAGGAAGGAAAATAGGAGAAAAAGAACGGCAGGGAGGTTAACTAGCCTATAGGCAGCTGGTTAGCTACCCTGCGCATAAGAGGGGGATGGGGGAGATGAAAGGTAGAAAGCAGAGATGGAAGAGAGATAAACACAGCCCATGCAGCACACGCGCACCAAGAGGTAAAGTGCCTGTATAGTATATAGAGCTTTTCGCGAAAGTTAGATGAGAAACAAAATCATTGGATGAAGCATCGTCTTTTCTCATAACTGAATTCTCGAAGTGGCGCTAATATACACCCTGAGTCATCATGACGCAGTATATCGCCTACATGCGGCTTCTAATACAGGACGCAATATGCGAGCTCCTGGTCAAGTGAGGAGAAAGGCTGTCGTCGCCACGAAGTGTTCGATCAGCCAGGTGGCGAAAGTTACAACCTAGCTTGTGTGTTATTAGAAGTACCTTAAAATGTTTTATCATATACAGTTCACTTATATATCTAAAAAACGACGAAATAATCTTACCGCGTTCATCATCACTGCCAAGTACGAAATTAGTTTCGTGTTGTCCTTGAAGTGTTGCTGGTGCGCCTTGTCCGAGACGATGTGAACCTCAACAGGAAACCTTTGAAGCCCGCCAGATCGTGATTGCGGAGCTGAAAAGAATGACAATTTCGCAATTTCTGTTTCGTGGGGTATTTAAATGTTTCTTTGCCATAAATGCTACTGGGCATGTAAATTTTATCGTAGAATCGATGCTGATAAAACACTTTATAAGTGTCATGTGATATCATTCAAGCAAGTCGTAGTCTCACTCTTAAGTATCTGTCTGTAGTTCATATTCTCATGCATGAGTTCACGCACAAAAGTTCGAGCTTTCTCTGTTGAAAATTCAGTAGATCCCATGCGTCATAGGAGTCGATGTAATGTGAAGGGTTGCCGTTCGTGTCTACTTTTTGCCAAACGGGCTGCATTGGTAACCCATATTTTATGGGAACTTTCGGGATGATTTCGTGGCTGCTTTGTGGCTACTCTGGGCCTCTGTTTTGGCTCGTTTAGAAGGCAATTTTCTTATACGTGTTTAAAGTCACAGGCAATCTAGGAGATAAACCTTATTTTTCACTGTATTAGGTCACTTCAGTCCATGCGTGTTCATCTTTTCACTCCAGCAAAAAGCTGCGGTGCATCTAGCCACATTAAACACACGGTGTGCCTGCAAACACGAAGCGACGAAGTTGCGCGTGTGCTTGCGAACATGTGGCAAACACATTGTGTACACCACTCGCTATTTACTCCGATGTCACCTGCTCATGTTGACAGCACAGTGCATGATTTCTTGCGTACTTGACAAGATGTCAATTTCCACACGACAGTGAAGCTATGTGCTTTTCTCGTAAATTTACTAATATTTTAGTCTGCTGCTTTACGCAAAACTGTTTCATTGCTTACAGTACGCCTATTTCAACTTGTTGGCGGGAATGTGCAAAATTACATTATCTCTAGAAAATCTCTATAAGGTATATACGCAGGTGTGCAGAATGTCAACTAATGACTCCTATATAGGTAATCACTCTGGTGCGAAATACGGTTTGCGGAACTGAACTACTCGCAGTCCAAGGTTATGCGTGTAACAATAGTAGCCTTAAGGATGACTGCCAGTTGGGCGTGTTGGTAATGGTTCATGATGAGACAAGCGCAAAAAATACACCTACTCAGAGAGGACACAGACAAGCGCTTAACAACAAGGACAGACAAGCGCTTGTTAGTGTCCTCTCTGAGTGTGTGTATTTTTTGCGCTTGTCTCATCATGAATAGTAGCCCATTTCCTGATTTGCATGCAACAGCATTGCATGCGACCAACTGGTTGTCATTTACCTGTATACCTTTTCATATCATTAGATCATAATCATCGCTTTCGTGACTACACTATCGGAAGGTTGATCACTGTTCTTTTCACCTCACCGTATTCTGCAAATCTTTGCTTGTGTCATCCACTCTGATCAATAAGAATGTACTCACTCTTCCCACAGTGCCGAGGAGAATAAATAAAGCACTTGATAAACTATTTTATAAATGTTCAATTACTAAAACACTTGCTGAATTGCCGCACGAAAACTAAGCAAGAGTAAAAATTGAGTGTTTAGTTTACATAATTGCATATTCAGTGGTATTTAGTGTATAGCGATGAATTGCGTCATAGCACAACTGTTCGTCTATTTGGATACAGACTTTAGCGATACAGCTAAATGGCTTGATGTTTTAGCTGCATAACTTGAGTTTTGGTTTATTTCAAATCAGGCCAACGGTAACCCTGGTGATGTGAGGCACTGAGTGAAGCGCTACCTGAACCAAACTGTTAAACTTTGACGGAATCAAGACATTTTTTTCAAGATATGACGCCATCAACCATTGCATGTTTGTCGCTTGCGCATCGGTATATTTAAGCAGGGATTTTTTGACGTGGTCGGGATGTTGGTGAAAGCATAAGTCGGCAAGAAACCAAACTTTACATGTGGGCAAAGTTGTGCTCATAGAAAGAAAAGTACATTAAAGAAACTGAGTGGGGTCAAGCACTGTCATCCGTCATCATTCATCAGATTAGCTGCAAAGCGCTTTGGTATTTTGTAGCAGTGGCATTGGAGCTGCAAGCGTTATCGCTGGTAGCCGGGTTACTTCCAGAGCAAACTGCACTGTACGCGTGTGTCTCACTGTCTTATCGAAAGATTGTAAAGTAACCCGGAAGGTTCTCAAACACTCTTAACGCAGGAGCTCTATAGACTTCGAAAGAGAAATTTGCCTGCCCATCAGCCACGCTCGTGTTCACAGAAGCGGGCTCATCTTCCACACAATGAATATACCAATTTACATTCTTCCCAACATTCATCGAAAGAAACTGAAGCTTATTCTTGGTAGAGTGCCTGTTTATGCTGGCAGTGTCTACTGTTACTCTAATTTGTGATGCAGTGCAACGCCCCCTGGAAAAGTTTCCTGAACGTTCCTTCCGAAAAAGATCCTTAACGTTCTTTCCGTAAGGTCACGTACAGCCGCGTCCATGTCTATGTAGAGCGTTGGAGCTGCCAGTTTTTGCTCAGTGGCATGACACCTAGCCACATTTGTGAGCATTCACATAGTCAGCATGATTATTTCGCCACCCATGCTTCTAACACGACTATTCAGAGTCGCAAATTGCTGCAAGGTGTCACCCCCAAGAACAAAACAGGCTGCTCACGTGCTCTACACAGACGTGGACGTGGTTGTACCTTGCCCGACAAAAAGGTACGCTGTCATCTGTGGCTCCGTCGGTCGGGTTTTTACTTTTAGCAAAATCATGGCAGCTGCGTTTTCTCTACGTTTGTGCAGCATACACTAACCAAATGCGTCAAATGTTCCTACTGCACAAAAGTCCTACGAGCTATAGCATAGCATCGAACATCATGGTCGGGCTTCCTCTGTAAACCAACGTGGATGGTCTCCTAACAATATTATGGGGGTTGCGACATCCTAAAATTGCCATGTAATTAAGGAGCCCCATGAACAAGGGAGGCGCACCTTTTGATCATCAAGTGTTTTTAACATGCGTTGATATCGCACAGAAGACGGGCATCAATCGTTTCGCCTTCACTTAAATGCGACAACCGCAGCACGGTTCGAACCTATGATGTCCTGATGAGCAGCCCGACACTGTAAGCACTGATCCACCATGGTGGTAGCTTTGTAGGCAGCGTTGTCTACCAAGCACTTCTTCAGGCTTGTCAGCACATGATAGCTTTGATTTTTATTTGGGGAAGTTGTAGGTGCTCACGTGCCACAAGACTGTCTTCGGCGAGATCGTCATATGGCGGTAGATCAAAAGACGAGTGGGAAAAGCAGGCAGCGTCAAAGTGTTTACGCCCGGACCTGTATCAATGGTAACGTCAAACTCTTGAAGTTTGATACTGCACTGTGCTAAATGCGCGGAAGTTTAATTCACCGATCAAAGGCGTGCTGGTCGCTCGGAAGCTGGAGAGGCCTGCCGTATAGGTAGGAGCAAAACACTGATTTGGCCCAATGCATGACAAGGTGCTCTTTGTCTTCAAAAACTCAATTCGCTCTTTTACAACCACCGGCCAGCATAAGCATTGAGCTTTTTCGACTTTCTTTTGTCGCACAATCCAGAACCAAGCCCCCACTGCTTGAGTCAGTGCGTATTTCTATATAAGCGTCTTCTTCGAAGTGCACCAGAATCAAAGGCCACAGCAAGCGTCATTTAAGTTCTCTAAGTGCTCTTTTCTGCAGAATTTTTCACTTAATCTCGATGCCAGTCTTGGTCAGTCGTGTAAATGGCTCGGTATTCTGCTAGTTAGGCAGAGCTACGGACTCTTCAAACGTAGATCTAGGAGCTAGGAGCTCTTCAAACGTGTATCTACAATTCCAGGATTTATGCGTTAGACCAGGAGACTTGATTACTAGCAGTACTGTTCGAAGGCTTCCGAAGAGTTCGTCGAAGCTGGAAGGGAAAATCAAAACGTTATCTGGAGACACTAGAGAAGGTCGCCACTTTATGCTAGCCGGTGCTGTGTCCATAACAAGCTGCAAGTGCCAAGCAAAGACAATTTGGCAAACCCTTGAACTCAAAGAGGCTGCCTGCTGGTTTTACAAACACAGTCCTCTCACGGCTTCTCTTGTTGACCTCACTTTGATGGTAGCCCGTTTGAGGCCCATTGAATAAAAGTAATTTGCTTTATAAAGTTGGTTAGAGGCATCATCTATTTGTAGGAGTGTACACAAGTTCTTCTCCACGTGATTTCGGTGACGGTAATGAAGACAAAAACGCACACTGCTGTATTTCTTCTTCCACAAGACCACTGGTCATAATCATAAACTCTTCGAGGGCTTTGTTTTGATTGCGTGAATGGCTAAATAGGTTTGGCGACTTGTCGTTTTATTGCTTCTTGTTTCCGCATTGAACACGGTAGAATTCTTACTTAGCTCGATTGAAATCTTTCTTATTGATGTGGTGGTTAGGAAGGGGCATTTTAATATCATTCAATAAACACTGGAAACAAATATTTTACATCTGCAGAAAGCAAAGGTAATGTCATAGCTGAGCAGTGGACAGACATGGATTGCCGTCAAAGGGTGATCGAGGTATTCGGTTATTGTTAGGGGCAAAACTCCTTATAGCGGCACCCGTTCGTCCCCCGTAGTATGTAACACGTATAACATTCTGACCTCCAAGGTGGTGCCGGTGACAGACTTCTTTTGTGCGTTGTTGAACAATAAAAAATATTGCTGAATGTACATGTCAATGGCTGCTGATGGGGAATGAGAGACCGGAGCATTCGGCTTTTAAGTAATGCGCAGGCTGCGATGACCATTAGCAGCCATTGGCATTTACATTGAGCACTATCTGACAAGAAAGGGTTGCTACGTTATACTCGCTGGGTGTAACCTCCTTAGCTTTAGAAAGGTTTAGCGAGCGTTGAGCCGCTGTGCCATGAATACAATGAACTTGTATATACCATGAATGAACTCGAGGTGGTTAAAAATGAAAAGTAGATACTAAGCGCAAGCCGTAAGAAAGTAAAAGCCGAATTTTCCGCCTCTCATTTCCCATTAGCAGCCATTGACATGTACATTGAGCACTATCTGACTGTAAAAGTTTGCTAAGTCATACTCGCTGGGCGTAACCTCCTTGGTTTTCGAAAGGTTTAGCGAGCGTTCGGCCGCAGTGTCATGAATACAGTGAACTAGTATATACCATGAACTCGAGGTGGTTAAAGGTGGGAAGTGGACCCGAAGCGCAAGCCGTAAGAAAGTGTGCGTGTGCCACCTCTCGTTTAGTTCTTGGAATGTCCGCTGGATGGCGGTGCTTCTATATGGGGAATATATGATGAAAAGATGCGACATGGTGGTACTTGGAGTGTTGAATAGATGGACGAACGTACACATAGACAGATGCATGGATGGACGCATGAACGGACGCAGGGGCGGCTGCATGGACGAACGCAGGTACGGACGCACGAACAGACGCACGCACGGACGGGCTGATGGACGCATGGACGGTCACACTGACGGACGCATGGACGAATGAAAGCAAGAACGAATGGACGGACGAATTCTTCGCCCCACTTTCCATCATTCACTCCGTGGATATGCTGCCATTTTTGTGGCTTCGTCAGAGTCTGAAAAACAGGCGCACCACAGACGCCCACGATTCCTTTTATGCTTGCGGCCGTCCGGCCCATGTTCAGGCGTCTCAATTTTGGAAAGGTGTCAGGTATCTCCGCTCTACAGCTTTCTTAAGGCGATTCCCAATGCATGTTGTGACAAACATCTCACGGTCCTGCAGGAAACGGGGATTCTTTTTCATGACAGTTTCGATTTAGCCAGGCATTTTTATGTCGACGGCAATGGTAAAGTCTATGAGAGAAAGAATGGTGATTAATGCTCGATCTAGTGGAGAGCACTTTTAGACGGGTTCATACCTGGCTGAGCAGGTTTGATGCAGGACAGAGTTATCGACTTGTGCCCTAAGTTGATGACGGAAGATTGGTGGTTTATGAAGTTCTTTCCAAGTACGACATCCGTAAGCAATGACGCAAAATAGCGAGGCTCTCATGATAAGTGCGAATAGGAATATACCTTTCTGTGCAGTCATTCAATGAGTCGAGATGTCAGTCAAAAACTTTATTGAAGTCCTGAGGACCCAAATCCCTTCAAGGGGGAAGTCTTATGGCGGGCCGCACCGCCATGTGGACAGACAGGGGGAGCCTCACCGCCTTGTCCTGGGCCCACTGTAGAGCCCCAAGTTGAACGTTGTAGTCCGCGCTTGTAGCACTGATTGCCAGGCTTTAGAAAGCTTGAGTGAGATGTGATGGAGTGCTAAACATTTCTAAAGCATGCGTGGGAGCGTACACTATCGTATTATGCAGTTGAGGCTAATTTGCTAAATATAAGTGGAGATCCACACGGTTTGTTTGGAGCATTCTAAGTGTGATATACTGCAGCCTCGTGCGTGTTACTTTCTTCCTGTGCTGGCTCCAGACGGATTACTAGATGGGCTGCGGTGGTTTGTACTTCGGGGTATTCCGAAACAGTCCTAATTTTCACCGGCTTAGTGCAACTGGTGCAGTGACATGGAATAGGCCGTTCAAGTATTAACGTATTCATGAGAGCTGTAGCATCTTGCCCACCGGAAAAACAAAACGTCAAAGTCACTAGCTTGTTGTCTGCTGTTGGTGTTAGGTCAATGCATTGGATTACGGCTACACCTGTTGAATATTTTGCTGCTTCTACGCGGTGTCTGGAGGCCTTCCTTAAGCGGCTTATTGTCCGCTTCAGGGCTTCGTTCGGCTCACGGTGTGTTCTAATGTACTCACCGTGACATTATTGTAAGTAGCGGAGAATTGTCAGTTTCCCCGTAGACCAATGGAACTCCATTCGGTTGCTGCATTTAGTTTTCGAGATATGAACAAGTGGGATCATGTTCCAGTAAGATGGGCAGCCTGCAGGTGCTGCGGGGTGATGTAAAGTCTGGTGAAGGTGATTGCGCCCGCCGTCGAGGTTTCCACTGGGAAGCGATGATATAGTCGGTTATGTCACTTGGCAGTTAAACTCACTCTGGACGCAGCTTGTTGATAGCAACACCCTGCAGGTCAATTTGGCGTTCGCGGATACGGTTTTTGGTGTATGCGGCTTCTGCGCAGCGGCAGCAGAGAGGAAGAGGGGATATGCCAGACGTCGTACTTACCCGTCTTGTATAACTTGTAGGCTGGCCACTGGTATGACATCAATGGACTTGATTTTGGTTTCTGTTGAGAAAACGGCGTTCCTTTTGCGTCCTGACTTGGGTGGGGAGTGGGAATGGCATGGTATACTGCAGCATTGCATCCCATAGCTCATAGTCATGATGTTGCTGGTTGTTGAACACTCACTTTTTAATGAATATTCTAACGCACAACGTGCGCAATGGACATCCCCTCAAGCTTAAAAAAAGGGCTATTTTGCGTAGCTCCTCTCGCTGGATGGCTCAGATCACAAAGCAAAAATTGTTGAAGTTGTGGAAATCAACAGCTTTCTTTTGAAATGAGATCGAACTGTGCTGCCCAGCATGCATTCGAAGCATATTCTCGATAATGTTTGCCTCTAATGAAAATTCTTGGACGGTTTTAAGTAGGTTTTTGTGTCAGGTTAGTGAAGAGCTCCTGCTGGACTTCTAGAATGAGAAGAAGAGCATGGTAGAGTTTGCGTGGAGAAACATCCCAGTTATCTTTTTTCCATTTAGTTTCCACATGGTTGTAAAAGGAGACCCAGCCCTCTTTTTCTACCCGATGCTAGTGTATGTTGGTAGGAAACTGGCACAAAAAGTCTCTTTTAATGTCTTATTTGATCTCTCATTCAGTATTTGATGTTCTAATCGGTCAATAAATATTCGTTTTAAAACAGGTCGTAGCGGTATCTCCCAAAACAAAGAATACACTTCTTCACATGTATTTCGTGGCCTCACCACGGTGGTCTTGTTGCTAGGGTGCTCGGCTGCTAACCCGCAAGGTCACGGGAATGAATCTCGGCTGCAGCGGCTGCATTTTTGATGGAGGTGGAAACACTGTATGCCCATGTATTCATATTTAGGTGCACGTTAAGGAACCCAAGGAGGTGGCGATTCCCGAAGCACTTCACTACTACGGCGTCTCTCATAATCATATGGTGGTTTTGGGACGTTAAACCCCCCATATGAAAGATGACATATATTAGGTACTCCAGGTGTTCAACACAGTTTCGTGGTTGTATGCTTTAAGGAAACTGCGCAGGTCTTCGAATGATGATTTGTGAAACCTTTATGACTCCTTGGCTGCCGTAAAAAAGATTGACGTAGGCAATACAGAGGCAGCTATTATCTCTATAGCCCACGTCAGGATCGACGACTGCCTGGGATTTTTGGGAAGCAGCACAAAAACTCTCAGTAGTAACTTCTGCTTGTGGACAGATGGACGATGCAGGTTGTTAGCGTCGTCTTTTTCAAGCCCTTCTAGCACATATCACAGGGTCGAGACCTGCTTGAAAACGGCAGTACCCTAGTTCAAGGAGAAGCTTTTTATTTAGTCAAACTGGCTCTTGGAAAATGTGAAGTCATACTGGAAGCAACGTACATTGTGTACTGATAGTAGCGAACAAAGCGTCGGCCGGAGCGCCGGCGCTTTGTGGGTGGCGCGCATCGTCTTTTATAGAGTAGCCATCCAGCCTTCACGCGTTATTACTGGTACTCAAAGCAGCGTGAGTACGATTCACGGCTTTCATATAGCCTAAACATCATAATTTAAAATGATTTAGAAGCTTCTCTCGCATTGAGACAAGGTCTCCACCGAGCGCTGCTAACAATCTTTCTTGATGAAACCTGAATACCTCAACATAAATGAACAAGTGTGCATGGTAGTATAATAGAGTAAGAAAATGGTAGCAAGAGCGTGAAGACGATGCGAATCTTCAGTGCATGATCTTAACATGCGCGTCTTGATTTTCACGTTACAACCTGCTCTGTGGGCTAATTGTTCGCAGGTTTAATGCTATAATTTTTTTATTGGTAATGAAGTTAACGCAATGACCTAAAGACACCAAAGCTGCTTCTTGTAGAGAAAGATGTACTAGACATACTTTTGATGGTTGCCCTGTTACGACAAGTCTTCAAGGTTATTGTAGGCTAACACGCCGTACCTATTTGGTATGTATGAAGCTAATCAAATGCCCTTGAAAATGCCAAGACCACTTCCTGGAAATATGACGTGGAATCCATCCATGTGATAAACTTCATGCCGACCCATTTTAATACTGTTCGTGATATATTGAGGTGATCTCATAAAAACGTTAATACCAGGTTAACGAAACGACCTCAAGACATATTCATAGGCCGTAGACGGTAAGATGATAATAGATAGATAGATAGATAGATAGATAGATAGATAGATAGATAGATAGATAGACAGACAGATAGATAGATAGATATTACGTAAATATAATTTAGCATAAATACTCTCCATTTAAACAAATTAAAGCTATATTTGTTGGACCGAAAGCCGCGACTGTTCTTCAAGCTTTGGAAAGCCAATACCGAAGCAAGAAATATCCGTAACAGTAGACACTTACTGCCACATGGGCATGACGTAGAACACAAAATGACATTTAGGCTCATTCGAAAGTTAAAAAACCTCAATTCACATATGCTATCAACAATATGGAGCATCAAGAGTATGAAACGGAACTGCTCTGTGTGTGGCAAAAAAAATATTACTCGTGCTCATCAAAAACTCGCCTTAGTGAAGCCTGTTATTATTGAGGGGATCTCGCTTTTCGATTTCGAAAATTGAGAAGCTTTATTATATATTGCTGTGAAAGATATTTGCAGCATATTGTGATTCCTCATGCGATGGATAACATAATGAAAAAATAAATTTGTAGATGGCAGGAAGAACGCCTCGTAGGATGTTTGAAAACGTATTGTGGCACCTCTAGGACGTTTATTCAAATTGCCTATCATTGATTATGGTAAATCGCACTGTCAATGCGCAATTATGATGTGACTTACCGTTGGCCCAGTCGCTACTGCTTGTGTTGTGGTTGCTCCGCTCGCGCAGACGCGGAATCTCCACTTCTAAAAAAGGACATGAAGGATAAGCAAAGCTGAAATTTTCGTGAAGATTGTGGCCCACTGACAAAATTGATGAGCAGATAGCAGTAGGAATAAATTGATTCTGTCTTCATAGTTTAGTTTTTGGTATTTCCTATCTAGAACTGGCCGTAACTTTTGAAGTGAGTTCAGTATCTTTCTCAGGGGTTGACTGTGTGGCCAGCTTTGATATTAGCACTTTTTAGCGGTGGCCTACCGCCCTACCTGCGTTCTCCCTGCCGCACTTGAACTGCGGTGTTGGCTGCACTGGTACCGCAGATCACACAATAATAACGGTAATGGAGAAACAGTGGTTCAGAGAGAGATAGCCACTAAAAATTCTAGCTTACCAGCTGGCCAAAAAGCCGCCACCTGAACGAGACCGTGTTTCTTAAAAGATTAGGTGAGCTTTAAAAAGATTATCATGAACTATACCTGACTGGACTCTTCCTTGAATGATTCTACCAGCCATACAAAATTATGTTAGACATGTGTACATTTCAAAAAATATTCATGCACATAAGTATTTCCGACTATACACTGGTGTTACTGCGCCAATTTGTCGTACACCTCTTCCCACCAAATATTTTTTAACCCTTGAAACGGGAGATAACTTACAAGGGGTCGCTTTTTCTTCACTTTCAAATGCACAAGTGCACACGCACATTTTAAGACTGGTGAAACCATTGCGAGATCAAAATACGTCTCACTGTTTTATCGAAAGATTGTAAAGTAACCCGGAAGGTTCTCAAACACTGTTAACGCTGGAGCTCTAGAGATTATGAAGCGTGGAAGCTTGGGCAAGTTGGTTGGACATAACTGAATGCAGGAACAGCGCAACCTAGAAGCAGTTACTTCGTAACTACGGAAGCGAAACAACAAGGACAGAAAAGATCGCTGACTTTCAAGTCAGCGAAAAAAAGCGTTGAAAGTCAGCGCTCTTTTCTGTCCTTGTTTTTTTCGCTTCCGTAGTTACGAAGTAACTACTTCTAGGTTGCGCTGTTCCTGCATTCAGCTCTAGAGACTTCCAAACAGAAATTTGCCTGCCCATCAGCTAAGCTCGTGTTCATGGAAGCGGGCTCATCTTCTAAACAATGAATATACCAATTCACATTATCCTTAACATTCATCAAAAAAAAAACTGAAGCTTATTCTTGGTAGAGTGCCTGTTTATGCTGGCAGTGTCTACTGTTACTCTATTTTGTGATGCAGTGCAACGCCCCCTGGAAAAGTTTCCTGAACGCTCCTTCCGAAAAAGATCCTTAACGTTCTTTCCGTAAGGTCACGTACAGCTACGTCCATGTCTATGTAGACCGTTCGAGCTGCCAGTTTTTGCTCTGTGGCATGACACCTAGCCACATTTGTGAGCTTTCACATAGTCAGCATGATTATTTCGCCACCCATGCTTCTAACACGACTATTCAGAGTCGCAACTTGCTGCAAGGTGTCACCCCCAAGAACAAAACAGGCTGCTCACGTGCTCTACACAGACGTGGTTGTACCTTGTCCTACAAAAAGGTACGCTGTCATCTGTGGCTCCGTCGGTCGGGTTTTCACTTGTAGCAGAATCACGTCAGCTGCGTTTTCTTAACGTTTGTGCAGCATACACTAACCAAATGCGTCAAATGTTCCTACTGCACGAAAGTCCTACGAGCTATAGCATAGCATTGAGCATCATGGTAGGGCTTCCTTTGTAAACCAACGTAGACGGTCTCCTAACAATATTATGGGGGTTGCGAAATCTCAAAATCGCCATGTAATTAAGGAGCCCCATGGACGAGGGAGGCGCACCTTTTGATCATCAAGTGCACAGAAGACGGCCATCAATCGTTCCGCCTTCACTTCAATGCGACAACCGCAGCGCTGTTCGAACCTATGACCTCCAGATGAGCAGCCGGACACTGTAAGCACTGATCCACCATGGTGGTAGCTTTGTAGGCAGCGTTGTATACCAAGCACTTCTTCAGGCTTGTCAGCACATGATAGCTTTGATTTTTATTTGGGGAAGTTGTAGGTGCTCACGTGCCACAAGACTGTCTTCGGCGAGATCGTCATATGGCGGTAGATCAAAAGACGAGTGGGAAAAGCAGGCAGCGTCAAAGTGTTTACGCCCGGACCTGTATCAATGGTAACGTCAAAGTCTTGAAGTTTGATACTGCACTGTGCTAAATGCGCGGAAGTTTAATTCACCGATCAAAGGCGTGCTGGTCGCTCGGAAGCTGGAGAGGCCTGCCGTATAGGTAGGAGCAAAACACTGATTTGGCCCAATGCATGACAAGGTGCTCTTTGTCTTCAAAAACTCAATTCGCTCTTTTACAACCACCGGCCAGCATAAGCATTGAGCTTTTTCGACTTTCTTTTGTCGCACAATCCAGAACCAAGCCCCCACTGCTTGAGTCAGTGCGTATTTCTATATAAGCGTCTTCTTCGAAGTGCACCAGAATCAAAGGCCACAGCAAGCGTCATTTAAGTTCTCTAAGTGCTCTTTTCTGCAGAATTTTTCACTTAATCTCGATGCCAGTCTTGGTCAGTCGTGTAAATGGCTCGGTATTCTGCTAGTTAGGCAGAGCTACGGACTCTTCAAACGTAGATCTAGGAGCTAGGAGCTCTTCAAACGTGTATCTACAATTCCAGGAGATCAAATACGGGGACAGGAAAGCACACATAGGATTAAGTATTAGCTAGTTGCGACGCAGCCTCTCATTAGGCATAATATGAACTCACTTGTATGAAAGTCGATTTAACGAATGTTTGAGGATTACGAACTCTAAAAATTTGCTGGTGGTTTTTTTTGCACTTTACGCAAGATTCGTTCAGGTAAACTAACTTCTCTTAAGACAAATTTTTAGTTGAACAGTCTTGATTAATGCTCCTGGGCCCATTTTTGGGACCAGTGTAATGCAGTTTTTCGCTTTTGCGTGAACGCCGCCGATGCCACTGAGACAATGCTGCCTGCGAAAAAGAACTACGGTGCTGCAGTATCTGCGCAGAGTCGCGAGATTTTTATATTGTTTTTCAGAGTTCTTTCGAAGCCAAAAGAAGAAGAATGCGACCAAGAAATTTTATAGGCTGAGAAAAGTTACAACTCTCTATCAGTAGCCGAGCCTCTGAGATATATGTGACAATGCCAAGTTAACTGGAGAACTAAAACTAGTGTGCACAGAAGGCCGCGTGCCGGAGACCTGAAGGGCCGCCTCTGTGGCTGGAAATCCTTCCAAAGGTGGGCAAGGCATTCGCCAAAGTAAATAATTGTACCAGCTGGACCTTCATATGCATAATACGATGCACCTGATTCAGAGGCGCATTATGAACCCAATAACCGGAGATGTGCAGGAATTATCGACCCTTGATCTCGACAACTCATTTACCATAGGTTCGTCCTGGAGGCGGCCGAAGACAAGGAGTTAGAGCCAGAGTTCAACACCGATGTACGAGGTTTTCTCGGAGACTGCAAAGCAGTTTCAAAGGCTGTGGAATCAACATGTAGGAAGCCCCACATTGGGTGCGAGAGGCAAGTCTAAGGGAGCAGTCTTTCACCTCTCTTCTCTTGCATAGTTACGAAAGGTTCTTGCAGTTTCTTTCCGTAGTCGCCAATACCAACGACGTCCTATATGCCGAAGTCACTACTGTCGGATGTTTGGATGCTGAGGAGGAGAAAGCGCTGCAGTCGGCATTGGCTATAATAGAAAGTGTTCTGGAGGGTTAGGAGTTACGACTCCCCTCCGGCCCTGAGTTGCTTCTCTATAGACTGACTTGGCCTGGGTGGAGGTACCAATCACAGCGTGATCAGGTAGATTGCGCTAAACACGAGGAATGAGCAGTTTATTCGCAGATTTAAATCTATTACTGTGCTAGGCTTGCATCATGAATCTAATGGCAGATACTCACAGCTTTTGGACCATATCATCTCTAAGGTGAGTAACATGCCTAGACTGATCTCAAAGTTGCCAAACTTTTGAAGAGAGCTGAAGGAAAGCAATCACCTTCGGGAGCACCCCCTTCCTCTTGAGCTACAATAAGGTGGTATCATTGCTAAATTTTTATAAACGCGAAGAAAATAAACTCAGCACTTTAACGCGGAAAAGAACAAAAATTATACTAGGAATTCCCGTGAGCACCGGCTCAGTCAGGCTTATCAGCCTGAGCATGTTTAACAACTTCTCCAAGGAAACTTGAGTCACAGTCACTAGCTCACGTCGCGCTAATGTCTTCCGAGAAAATTCGGCAGTGTCTCCTACAGACGCATGGGTACCAACATAGGACAGTGTGACACAGATATTTTTTTATCTTTCGTTCGTAACGCTCATTCGTAGTACAATGTCGGCCAGCCAAAGGGATGGGTGAAGTTTCAGCGTCATGGTGTAGCTAAATTACCTGAAAAGGGTCTTTCGTCGATGCGCCACAGTGTGGCCACACTTATAGCTTTGTGGCTATGGTGGCTGCTCATCATCGTCGCTCACTCAACTCTGCTTCTGTTAAGAAGGTGTCTGCCTCCGTAGCAGAGCAGGTAGTGATTACCCTGACGAAAACTACCAAATACAGGGATATTTACTGGCTGCCATCCATGCGTTTGACTCAGGAGTGATTTTCAGTGAGTGTGCTCTATTCTCGTGTCAAGAGATGTAGCAGGTTTCAAACACTTGCCTTGTTTCTGGCCGGCCCCGAATGTTAGTAAACCGGTACATAACAATGTGCAAAAAATCAGAACTCGCAGTGGCCCGGGATGGCAGGAACTTGGGTTTGCAGAAAGATCGGCTTGCAAATTTTTACGGATACACTTTTAACATCAAATGTCACAAAGGGGCTTCAGCCTGACGCACAACAAACACACTAGACCACAGTCGTGGGCTCTTCAGATGCTCTAGACAGGTTCCCTCCCTTGTTGTTGCACGTTCAGTCAATTCGCTAACGGCATACACCCAGGATGGCTGAGCTGTGTGGCAGTTAATTGCCTGACGTTATGTACAACAAGGTTGCCCTGGCTACTGCGGCGTACCCTCGAGGGTGTCTGGTTGGGGTTCTCCGGGACCAAACAAAGCTTATTGGGGGTGAAGGTTTCTAAGCCGTGGGTCGTGCGTCCACGGTGTATGTAGTAGTAGTACTAGTAGTAGTAGAAGTAGTGGTATTAGTAGGAGTAGGAGCCACCTCCATGGCCGTACTAAAGGAGTGGCATCGCGCATCCTTTTCAATTAAGAAGCAAACTCGCGCACGTTAATTATAAATAAAAAGATGGCTGTTTCTGATGGAAAATTTTACAGAGACGAGTACTGGTGACTTTATCTCTATTAAAATTTACCTTGCATGTGATACTTAATAAAAAAACTAGTATCACAAAGACGCACTTTGAACACCATCTGACCAGAAAGGGTAGCCACGTTAATCTCGCTGGGCTTAATTCCTTCGTTTTAGCAAAGTATAGCAAGGGTTGGGCCGCAGTGCCATAAATATAGTGGACTTTTATATAGCCTTGAACTAGAGAGGTGAAAGGTGGGAAGGGGACACGAAGTGCAGGCTGCAAGAAAGTGTGCGAGTTCCACCCCTCGTTTAGTCCTTGGAATGCCTACTGGATGGCAGTACTTCTGTATTATATATCATATATGCTGAATATATGATAAAAAGAGGCGAAATGATGGTGAATTTGGAGCGTTCACAAGATTGACAGATGGATGGACGGATGGACTGACAGGTAGATGCATGGATGAATGCACAGTTGGATAGATGGTTAGAAGGACCCATGGAAGGACGGACACATGGACGAACGCAGGAACGAACGCATAGGTGAATTCACAGACGAAAGGACGGATGTACGGACAAACGAACGGACGCACAGAAAGACGGACGCACGAAAGGATGCATGGGTGGACGGATGGACGCATGGACGGTCACACAGACGGACGCACGCACAGACGGAAGCAAGAACGAACGAATGAACGGATGCTTTGCCCCACTCATCAGCATTCACTTCGACGATATGCTGTGACTTTTTTCATCACCTTGTTACTAATGCCTATTTATAGATGAAAACAATTCCTGGGTGGCTATTACCTGTCGTTCACCTGTGGCACATACCTACCCGTGATGTACGGGTAAGTGCCACACACGTCTGGTGGTAAAGGTTTGACGACGTGCGCTACGGGTTTGTCACATTATTAAGGAGAAGGCCTTTAAATTTGGGATAGCATTTTGCGCAAAAAACCGGAAAAAACGAAAAGAGCACAGACAGCAGCGCCTGTCTCGGCCTTCTCCTTTCTTGTCAGAGTATTTCTTACACAAAATCCGATCCAACATACAATAACATCTCGCCCAACATTCGGTTCTTTTGAGGCCTTTTGTGCTTGATGCTCACGGAGTCCTGTGGCAGCCTTCTGTACGCAGAACAAATGGAAGAACACTTTTTTTTTGGCGCGAGCGCGTGCGTTTTATGCTAGAGATGGTTATGCTATATCTCGTTTCGCCTGAGTTACGCCAAGCTACCACGACAGTTTACGACATCCTGTACTAAATTTCGCCGGACTTGCAACCATTCCAACCCGTTAATGAGCAAGTTTGTTAGTTACTGGCTATGAAGTTCTGGAGAGCAACCATGACCCTTCAAGAGAAAACAAAATGCAAACAACAACGCCATGCTCACCCATTTCTCTGAACTCTTCTGTGACTGGTACTTCAAATAAGGAGTGGAGTATCTGACCTTGCTGCGATCGTTCGCCTTCGAGGAGAGGCTTAACTCGCAAATTATGACTGACAATTCCTTCCTGCAAAAATGACAGTGAGTTACCAAAATACCCAACGTATGACCATTGCTTTTCGCTCAAACGTGCACATTCAAAAGCGTTAATACAACATAGCCAGCACAATGGTTAATTAAAAACGACATAGTATAGAACAAATGAGAAAATACACTCGTATATTGAATGATTGTATCTTCAAGCTCAACAAAGAAGACTGGGATTATCATTTGCTCACTCAGAATGATGCTTAGTAATACGAATGCGAATTATTTGTTTGCAGCGAGATACCCGTTTCCCCACGAACGGCATAAGACGACCTACAACGGTGCTCTAGTATCCATGGCGCTCGGCTGGGGACTCGCACGTAGTGGGATCCAATTCCTGCCGCACCGGTCGCATTTTCAAAAGAAGCGCAAATGCTCTAAAATTTGCCTACATTTAGGCGCACGTTGAAAAGCCCTAAAGGGTCCAAACTTCGACAGGCTTTCACTACGGCGTCTATCAGTCATATGATGATGTTGGGGCATTAAATGCTCACAATTATCATTTTCAAGGCCATAAGAGCCTAGAGCAATTAGGCTCTAATAAATTAAAAAAAGTATGAAGGTCACAATAGGCAAGGCTCATGTTTTTGGGTCCCTCTGACCACACCGCCTTTGTGGACGTGGCAGATGGTCACTTGCTTGTTTGCCAAGGTCATATAAGAAGATTCGTTTGTCCTAAAATGCGCACGCCCGCGATGTGACTCGCGTGCCGCCCTCTTGACCCTTGCGCGGGGAGAGCGTGGCGCCCTCTTCGAGCAACGGCTCGCGCGAAAGTTCGCAGCGATTGTGCGGGGTGGGTGAGACGTTATTTTCCAGTGGGTGCCGTCTCACGGGGGACCATTTGGCGACGAGACAGCGGACGCCCTCGCCAAGAAGGCTCACCACCCCAGCACACCCGTCTCAGCGTTCATCCGCGCAGGCGATGTTGCGCATCTCCGTACTGCGCGCCATGTGCGCGCATTACCCCCAGACCTACCATGACCCTGCCGAGGACCGGCATTCGCAGGCGTGCCCGTGCCTTCCTATTTCGGCTTCGCACTGACTGTTCCCGCACCGCTGAGAGGAACTTTCGCTTCATCAACAGCGGGAGCCCATCGTGTGCCAAATGCCCGGCGGTGCAGACGACCGAGCACATCCTGTTGCAGTGCCCTGGCTACACCGAACAACGCTGGCAGCTCTTGGACGCCCACGGTTGTCTGGGACTTCCACACGTTAGCCTTGACCACCTCCGGTTTCCCCAGGCCCACCACTCAAAGCTCGTGCAGGCTTTCGAGGCCCTGCTTTACTTCTTCGGTGGCGCCGATCTTATCACGTGGCTCTTGCGAGGCCCGTACTCACGTGGTCTTTATTTACATCTGTGGCTCCGCCCACTCCCTCTGACGCTCGTCACGTGGTGCTCCCCGTCTGCGCTTCGTGCCGGCTTGCCTGACTGTTTACCCAGCTTTCCTTCCTCCGTGGTTTACCCTGTCCCAGCGGCAGCGTATGCCCGCGCGTGCGTGACAGAGTTGATGCGTCCTTTCTGCTATCATCCCTACCTCCTATTTCTTTCCCTCCTGCTCCCCCATCCTCCGCGTGGAGCCGTGTCGTTGCCTTCGTAATGAAAGACAATAACAGCTCCACGCATTTATCTCTTACTTTTCCCTCTCAAGAACATCTGCAGAAGTATACTGACGATTTCCAATCGTATACTTTTGTCTTCTGCGCCTGTCCGGTGGCGTTACGCTTCCAAAGCGTAACCCTAGAGAATGCCATCAGAATAACAATCTGAACAACTACTCCGTTGAAGCTATTTTCTCGACAGCGAATGGTTTCCACTAGGCAGCACAGACAGAGATTTTCGTTCACGCTGCCACAGTCTGTATATTTTAGCTCCAAGGTGTAATATTTATCGCAATTCCAACAGATAAACGAGTGCAGTTTAAAGCAACTGCTTCTGTCAGTTTCCTAAATTAGGCAGACTGCCCGAAGCAGCACATCTTGCTCGCAAACATGAGCAACGACGCCTGAAAACAAATGTACGTGAAGTAAACGAATGCACAGTACCGCCAACGCCACGCAAAGATTTCAATTGCAAATGTGATGCAATTCAAGTCCTTTGAAGGCAACATAGTTGCTATATTGTGCGCCACAGTGCTATAGTGGCAATGCTACTCGGCTGTTGACTCGGCTGCCACCTCATTTAGCAGTACGCTGAATTCACTTATGCAAATGCCGTCACTGCGGAAACATGAACTCAAACTGAGAAAGCTTCTGACGCACAGTGAAGTAGGACACACAACACAAATATAGGATGCATGGTGACTAATTTTATTTCACAGCAAAAAAAAACATTCATAGAGCAGGCAAACCACAAGATGATGTGTGCGTATGGTAGGCTTTGTGAACAACTGAATAACGGCAATGTGCGGCTCACAAAACTAATCTTGAAATAAGGGCCAAGCCTTGCTAATGCTGGCTTTACATGTTTGCCTCACGTGTTGCTCATCTATTACTACTGTCTTCTATTCAACGTGCACTGTGTGCTCATTCAATTTAAACCAAAGGTCTGCAAACTTATGAACTCGGACCAACTAGCTCGAATAAGAATTCCGCATGTAACAACGAAGGCACAGCAAGGCAAAACACACAGTTATTGTCATGATGGTCTTCATCCTTGCTTGCGCTGTGTGTTTTATTACCAACAGATAGCAGAATTTCCCGAGCCATTACAACGTCGTGCCTCATTCCTACATGTTAGTTTTGGCACGTGAAAGTCTAGATCGGTATTTTGCATCGTTAGGCCGAGAGTTCGGAGATTTGAGATACCCCTGAACTGCGAAGTCTGTCTCGAACACGCGTTTTATTTTATGTCAGCCGACAGAAACACGTTGCCTGCGTTATGTGTCTGGTGACCCGAAATTGATATCTAGAGTTCCACTGTTCATTGTGTATGATAAGCAGGTAGGTGGCCACGAGAACTACTGTACATTTTCCCATCATAATAAACAGATGCTTTTTGTGTTGGTGGGTGCTGCTTCGCAGGGGTTGAAAGTTTTTACTATTAACGCAACAAAAACTGAAAAGAGGGTGGTCAGCTGCAAAAAGTGTCATACGCCTGTCGTTTAGCTGTTTAAATGATAACTTAGAATAGTTCGCAGTTCACTTCGGCAACATTTGAGGCTTTTCTGAAACGTATTTGCGTGCACTATACAGGAACCATTAGTGACCATCCTGCCTCAAATGACACGATGAGTCGTTGTTCAAACGGTAAATCTTTTTAAACGAGTATTAAAGGAGAAACATAACGGCGGACCATGGTGACTCTAGTGTCATAATGACCAATTCCTCTTCACGTACAGGAAAAGGCCAACCAGAACCACAAGAGAAACACCAGCTAGGCTGTTTCTATCACTGACACCTCAGACGCTGCTCAGTCTTCTGCAGCCCAATCTTGAACAACGAATGCAGCAGATGCTAGGCAAGATAACGATACAAAAAACTCCAAGCAAGACGGCGAGAATCAGAGCAATCATATCCTGCATTTGTCAATACCTTGAGGCCAGGTGAGGATAAATGACTGGCTGCATTGGTATTTGGGCGTTCGAGTATTTCGACCTACTTGATCCATATTAGAAGTGCACATTGATATGTTCATGCAGACAACCTATTACGTCAAAATCTACCTGAAGAATCGACACCTGATACTTGGCTGATGGTGTCCTACAACTAGCCAGACGCAGCCACATGGGTTTCAGAAGCTATGGACGCCTGTGCAGGGGTCTTCCAGTCGGTGCTAGCGTTAGACACGATGCAGCGATACTCTATCCAACAGCCCGAACCCACTTCGCTGATCTAGTAACAACTGGAGGAAGCTGGAGCTGCCTTTCCACCTTTCCACAAGGCTTGTCTACCCAACCCTTGTGTTGAAGCAATAACGAAAGACGACCAGCACATCGCTACGTCCTCCGGCATCCCGTGTACTCTCGGATAAAGAAGGCGTGTTGTGTTAGTGCGCATGCATCAGTACGTGTGTGCGAGGGCAGTGTGGTGCGGGTGACAGAGCCCGCGTGTCTGACTGTATTGATGTCATCAGTACCGCGAGTACTCCCTTCATAAAAGCCAGCAAAACTGCACCTAGATTGATTCTTTTTTGACGTACGAGGCGTGTGATGTGTCGAAGCTTTTTAGATTTATTTTTCAACACCATTGTACGCGTGACGTAACTTACAACTTCCACATTGCCGCCTTCCTGCCGCACCAACACAGATGACTGGTAATGTGTGTCATAGTATATGCTTCGTTGAATATCAGACGTGTCTACCTGCGGCAGAAAGAAAATTCAAAGGCGAACAAGGCACGTACATATTAGGACGACATTTTGAACATACATCAACCTAATCATATATATTTTTGGCCTACTGAACTAATATAAAAACTACAATTGCATTGAATATTATGCTAGCATTCCATATGCTTACTTTGCTATTATTTATACTCCACCACCTCTCTGTAGAATTTAGCGTGTAACAATTGTAGACTTGAATTTTGTGTATAGGCAGTACCATCCTAAAATGCGCCATCACTTGCGTGAAACAGGTTAAAAGTCTAATGCTTGTTATTGTGTTGTACTCTACTGCACGTATGCAGGTTTACTCAAGTATGCTAAAGGTTGTGACTCGATAACTCCTGTGATCACGCTTCCTTTGAAGTGCTGCTTCGTGTATTTTTTATTTATAAAATGGATTACCTTATGGGTTCAATTATGCTTGGAGATACCATGTCTTCACGCAACAGCTGTTCAGAGCAAGCACATGGGATTGCGAATCTCGATTTTCCTAATTTGGTACGAGGAGCACAAGTTACATTGCTTCAGCTACGAAACGTTGCTTTCAGCGAAACTTGTAGGACTTTTTTTGTGCTTTGTCGTGCAAACAGATCGTTGGCCACTTTCAATTTCGTAATCCTTCCTACAAAACTCACAAAATATTATTCTTAAATCTTTTTAACGAGTAAATATACGAATTTATATTGATTGAAATGCAATTGTTTGGTCTAAGAAATCACTTCTAAAATTTTACGAGGAATTGAACCACAAGCAGCAACATGAGACATGTATTCTTATGTAGCGCGTGCGCTTGTAAAGATACCCTTCTATTGGATATATCCTCTTATTGTGAAAACAATGCAGGAACTGTTTTAAACTTTTTCGAAGGATGTTACAGTTCGACACAGTGTAAGGTACATCTTGTAGCAGAAATTACTCATAAATGCATATTGTTAAGTTGTTCGTACTTACATGGAAGTGGCGATACATAAAGTGTTTGAAGAGCCTGAGGTACTCGAAGTTCAAAAAAGAGTTCTTAAACTGAAGCTTAAGCACACACACACAATGGAATAATCCGACATATGCCATAGAGACACAGAGACCAGCACAGTGTTTTTTTCTTCTTTTTAAAATGAGAATACAGCAAGAAAAGCCCCCAAAACTATATATAAACTGCCGTATTACAAAAAAAACGTAGTACTTGGTTTTGCCGCATACTGAAGTCTAACTGCACATGCACAAGTACCTGCGATAGAGACACAGGGACCAGCGATAAGGACACGGGGAACAGTGATAGGGACACAGGGACAAGCCCAGTGTCCATATCGTATTTGTTCTCGGGTGTGTGCGCTTAAGCTTCGGCATGAACCAAAACCAACTAGCCTGTCCTTGCGTTTTACTTGAGTTCGTAAGATTGTATGCGAGCCAGATATATTTATTCGACTTGAACCTAGGGAAGATTTCAACATACCACTTCCAACTTTTGTTCTTCTTTGGCGCTTGTAACAAAAAGGAGCTTGTCAACCAAGACTGTGCTCTTTTCTAGATTTAGCGTTATCATTTTGTTGAGCATGAGAACCAACTTTCCTGCTGTCGAGCGCTCTTCCAGTATACGAGGATATATTCGCTGTTCTTTGGTCTCTAAGGGAGAAAAGGGAATGAATAAGATACAAATAAAGTCACAAATATACAGAAATGCGAACATTGCTCCTCCAATTATTTGCGCCGCGTTTTTCTTTGGAGTAGCGCCTAAGAGAATATCTCAATGGTCATTTCATGCATCTCTAGTTTTCAATACCTGGAATCTGTTATGATGCACAACGATACTTTTCAATAAGAGGGCGTGCACTTCGGGGTTATTAGAGGAGCTTCTGGAACAGAATTTAGCCAGAATAATTACAGTGAATAACATTCGCCGTTGTTGCTGCGCTTCGCTAGGGCATATGACTTATTGACTCATAATATTGTCACGCAGCAAAGGACGACACAGTTGTCTATAAGGAAAACAAGTTTATTGGAGCGAACCTGTGCTCCCCTAACAACTGAAAGAATACACAGGCGGCGAAGCAGCGGCCGGAAAAACGACGGGCACGCTTGTGAGCGTCGGCGATCGAATGTCGCGGCATCGGCTTTGCGGGAATTTATATCCCTCGGCGCGAGGGTTTCTCGAATAGTCTAATTGTATCGAGAACACCGTGATAGCGTTTGTTCGAAACGCTGTGAAAAGTGATAGCACAGGCCGGCGCAGCCAGGCCGAAAAAAAAACACAAATAAACAAACCCAATGCATGGTTCGCGGCATTACCCCCCCCCCCCCCCCTAAAAGTGCATCGACCCGATGCTAACATAAGGGACAGTCCAAACAAAATAAAATAAAAGTTCGTCATCGTCCGTAGAAAGGTTTTAAGCGAACCACATGGACGACTTCGGGACGCGTGCGTCGTCGTGATGTACGGGAGTCACCATCGGGGATCACTTCGTACGTTAGTTCGCCAACACGTCGTAGAATCCGGTAGGGTCCGAAATAGCGTCGTAGAAGTTTCTCACTGAGTCCACGTCGTCGAATGGGAGTCCAAACCCACACACGATCTCCAGGATGGTACTCGGCGTCTCGGCGTCGGAGAATGTAGCGTCTGGCATCCACCAGTTGCTGGTCCGTTATACAAACTCGAGCGAGCTGGCGGCCCTCCTCCGCATGTTGGAGGTACCCTTGGACGTCGGCGTTGAGGTCGCCGTCTTCTACGTGCGGAAGCATGGCGTCGAGCATCGTAGTCGGCCGTCTTCCGTAGACGAGCTCGAACGGTGTCATCTGCGTGGTTTCTTGGATAGCCGTGTTGTACGCAAACGTGACGTACGGGAAGACTTCGTCCCACGTCTTATGTTCAACGTCGACGTACATAGACAGCATATCCGCGATTGTCTTATTCAGCCGTTCCGTTAGTCCGTTTGTTTGGGGGTGGTACGCCGTCGTTCTTCGGTGATCTGTGTTGCTGTAGCGTAAGATTCCTTGCATGAGCTCCACAGTGAAGGTCGTTCCGCGGTCCGTGATTAGGACCTCAGGGGCTCCATGTCGCAGCACAATTTGGTTAATAAAGAACTTTGCAACTTCTTGTGCAGTTCCCCTAGGAAGGGCGGTGGTCTCTGCGTAGCGCGTCATGTAGTCTGTCGCTACGACAATCCATTTGTTCGCGGATCGGGATGTAGGAAACGGGCCTAGAAGGTCCATTCCAATCTGTTGGAAGGGCCTCTTTGGGACGGCGATCGGCTGCAGAAGTCCGGCGGGTCTCGTCGGTGGTGTTTTTCGTCGCTGGCAGTCACGGCAGCTTCGGACGTAGTGGGTAACAACGGATGTAAGGTGGGGCCAGAAGTATTTCGCCTTGATTTTTGTAATCGTGCGAGCTGTTCCGAGATGTCCGGAAGACGGGTCGTCGTGGCGAGCTTCCAAAATTTCGTCACGAAGGTCTGCGGTGATGACACGTAGATAATTCGTTCTCGTTCCGGGGTTGAAATTCTTCTTCACTAGGACGGAGTTTTTGAGGCTGAATGCTGGTAAATTGCGCTTGAACGCCCTAGGCACGGCGACGTTGCGTGCTTTGAGGTAGTCAATCATGGCGCGGAGGTCAGGGTCGGCACGCTGCTGGGCGGCTAGGTCGCTCTCTGTCATGACTCCGAAGAACGCGCTGTCTTCATCGGAGTCCTGTGGTGGTGGGTCGACGGGGGCGCGGGACAGGCAGTCGGCGTCGGAGTGTTTCCTGCCAGATTTGTAGAATATTGTAACGTCGAACTTTTGCAGGCGCAAGCTCCACCGCCCAAGACGGCCAGAAGGGTCCTTCAAATTGGCGAGCCAACACAGCGCATGATGGTCTGTCACAACCTTAAACGGTCTACCATAGACGTATGGGCGAAATTTTGAAATGGCCCATATGATAGCCAGGCACTCTTTCTCGGAGGCAGAGTAGTTTCTCTCCTCCTTCGACAGACCACGGCTTGCTTAGGCGATTACCTTTTCGTAACCGCTTTGCTTTTGGACGAGCACGGCACCCAAACCGATATCACTGGCGTCCGTGTGCATTTCCGTTTAGGCGTTTTCGTCGAAATGAGCGAGCACGGGCGGGTTTTGCAGGCGTTGTTGCAGCTCGCAGAATGCCTTTTCTTGGTGGTTTTCCCAGCTGAAAGGGGTGCTTTCTTTCGTCAGGCGCGTGAGTGGCTCTGCAATGCGTGCGAAGTTTGCGACGAAGTGCCGGTAGTATGCGCACAGTCCGAGAAACCTTCGCACACCCTTCTTATCTTTCGGCCTTGGGAAGTTCGCAATGGCTGATGTTTTTGCCGGGTCAGGTAGGACTCCCACGGCGTTCACGACGTGACCCAAGAACTTGAGTTCCTCGTACGCGAAACGGCACTTCTCAGGCTTCAGCGTTAACCCTGACGTACGAATGGCCTCGAGTACAGATTCTAACCTTGTGAGGTGTTCGTCGAAAGGCCGGGCGAATACGACAACGTCGTCGAGGTATACGAGGCAAGTGTGCCACTTCAGGCCTGCTAGCACAGTGTCCATGACTCTCTGAAACGTTGCGGGCGCCGTGCACAGCCCAAACGGCATCACCTTGGCAGGGGGTACACGTCCTTTTTGGTGATTTTGTTTAGTCTCCGGTAGTCAACGCAGAATCTTAAAGTGCCATCTTTTTTCTTCACGAGTACAACCTGCGCAGCCCACGGACTTTTCGATGGCTGTATTATGTCGTCGCTGAGCATGTCATCTACTTGAGTCCGGATGGCTTCGCGCTCGTGTGAAGAAACGCGGTACGGTGACTGTCTGGTAGGTCGGGCTCCATCTTCGGTTATTATCCGTTGCTTCGCCAAAGGTGTCTGACGTAACTTCGAGTTCGAGGAAAAACACTCACTGTAGCGACGGAGCAACTCCAGTAATCTGTCCCGATTTTCTTGCGACAGCGCCGGGTTCACGTCGAAAGGATGTGGCAGCCTGGAAGCATCTGCGCGTGCGCGTTCAAAGGTGGCGACCGCGATCACTTGACTCGCTTCTTGCGTTTCTTCGAGGAACGCAATCGCAGCGCCCTTGTTTAGATGCTGGTATTCCTCGGTAATATTGGTGACAAAAACGTGGGATCTGCGTTGCTTAAACCGCGCAATGCCTTTTGCGACAGACACACCGCGGTCTAGAAGCAACCTTTGGTCAGTCTCCACGATAGCGTCGACGTCAGGAGCAGCACCTTCACAATAGACGGCGATCATAAGCTTGCGCGAGGTGGCAGGGTGACGTGATCGTCGGCGATCCTTACAGCAGCACGGTGTCCGAGGTTCGGCTGCGGCGTCGTGGAGTGATCGGAAGAAAACGTTATTGACCTGGTCTGCAGATCAATTATTGCGCCATTGTCCGTCAAAAAGTCCATTCCGGGAATTACGTCGCGGGAGCAGTTAGGCAAAATGACGAACTCCGAAGGGTACGTAGTGCCGTCTATGGTGACGCGCGATGTGCCCATTCCACTTGGGGTCACGAGGTGGCCTCCTGCTGTGCGTATGTGCGGACCGTCCCATCTGGTCGTAACTTTCTTTAGCTTGGACGCGAATGACCCGCTCATGACCGAGTAGTCGGCTCCCGTGTCGATGAGGGCGACTAAGTCAAGGCCGTCGATGGACAACTGGACGTCGGATGCCGCTTTCCTCGAATTTCGGGTGCGTCGGGGCGTCGTATCGCGGCTTGCGCGTGTTGATGGTTGGGCACTATGCGTCGTCATCGTCGTCTTCTCAGCGGCAGGCTTCGTCATTTCGGGTACGCGTCGCGCAGCGTAGCTGTCGTCGTTTTCGGGGGTCTCGTCAGGGTGTCGTCGGGTCGTCGGGATGAGGGCATGTCGTGAATCACGGTCTTGCGTCGTTGGAGGGTTTTCATTTTCTCGCCGTTGTGCAACTTTACCTCCAGAAGTTGCTGCTTTTAGTTTCCCCCTCGTGGGCTGGGGGACCTTCCACGGGCGAAGTTAGCATTGCTGCGACGGTTGGGGGATTGGTACGGGTAGGGCGACGGCGAACGGTTGAAACGGGATGGTCCACGGCTGGTGTTCGACAGGTATTCTTCGATTTCAAATGGGCGCTGGCCGGCTCGCGGGCAGGGTGCGTCGACAGAGAACCCACGCAAACCCAGCCTCTTGTACGGGCAGCGGCGGTAGACGTGGTCGGCCTCTCCGCAGTGGTAGCACAGCGGACGATTATCTGGCGTTCGCCTCAACTCGGTCTTCCTGGGCGCCTGGTTTCGGGTTACAGGGGGTCGGGCGGGCGACATTGGGCGGTGGTATGGCGGGGCCTCTTGATAACGGGTTGGGACGGGTCGGGGTCGACGAGCAGCAGCGGAGTAGGTCATCACTTGTGGTTCGCAAGATGCTTCCGACGGCGTGGAATTCCCTAGTGCTTGCTGAACCTCCTCGCGGACGACGTCAGTGAGGGAGGCGACTTGGGGCTGCGGCGTTGCTGGGAACAATTTCCTCAGTTCCTCGCGGACGACGGCGCGGATGGTCTCCCGCAAGTCTTCCGTCGCCAATCCAGGGCGTTTACCGGGTCACCGAGAAGGTGTTGAGTGGCCTATCGTATTGCCGCGAACGCATATCCAAGCTCCTCTCGATCATCGAAGCCTCG